AGTTATGGAATTTACAAGAAAAGCCCTAAATCAATTTTTTCCTTCTTATATTTGTAGCTTTGAGCTAAAAAGCGAGGTGGCAGTTGGTGACCTTCCCTCGTAAGTTATTTCAAAATTCTAGTCAGAATAAACATAGCCATCAACTTTTTAGAGAAAAACAGGGCATGCCTTCGAAAAACAATTTTATCTCAATAAGGAACTATTTAAAAGTGTGAAGCTTTATACGTGTATATGCTTTACCTAGAAAACAAATTTCGTCATATTATTATCCTTGTGAAAATACTTCCAAAGTCAACAAATGCTTTCTTAAGCGCTGAAAATAGTTTTTTGGTGGCTAAACATCTAGTTTCGGATGAACCCCTAATCACTCTCAGTCTAGACGTCCTTAGGCTAAAGTCCCTAAATTTGTAAATGATTTTGGTATATCGTCTTTGAAAAGTTGTTTTTTTCCTTCTTCTTTTTTACTAATGNCCAGCCCTACATGACATTTCTTTGCAAAGTTATGGAATTTACAAGAAAAGCCCTAAATCAATTTTTTCCTTCTTCTTTTTTACTTTCATCTTTTTCGTGGAATATTACTTTCAGAAATATTTGCATTAAATCACCGATTGTATCAATGACACTATCAACTTTGGCTTGTTCCAAATTATTTTTACCAGCTAAATTAAATTGTTTGGCAAGAAAACGAGCAATTGTCATTGATTGTGGAATTTTTTGTCCATCGACTTCTAGGACGGGCATTTGTCCCAATGGCATTTCATGTTTGTGATTAGGCCAGTCGGCATGTTCATAACGAATATCTTCGTATTTTTGACCAGCTTGAGCGAAGATTAAACGTATTATTTCTGCTCGTCCACGACCGTTAAAATAGTATAATTTATAAGTTGACATGATAATATAATTAAGGTAGTTTTTAAAGTTCCGTGTTGTTGTTTTAAGTTTCTTGTGAAGAAAAACTGATAGAAAGCTCTTACAAGTACTCAACTATATGTCGGAAAAACTTTCTGTCATGTCATCATTACTTTACATATTTTCTTCTTTTCTTTCCTGTTCTCTTCATTTTTTTACTAATGTCAAAGCAACCAAATATTGATCTGTTCAACTATCACGAAATCAACTTTAAGTCGGTGTGTGTGTGTGTGTGTGTGTGTGTGTGTGTGTATGTTGTATGCCATTGATTTGCTCGTTTTTCATATGCAGAGGCGTGTGTCCTTTATGGGAATTGATAAGAAGCGACTCTTTTTGTGTTATTGATAAGATGAAATTTGTATTTAGATCTATAACGTAAAATCAAGACCCACGAATATTTGAAAAAGCTGAAAGGCTTTGACAGTTAGTGTCATAAGTATTCGAATGTCTGTTTCTTCTTTCACGGACCACACTCTAATGTAACGTCACTTCACACATCTCTACATTTTATTGATACAGTATCAACAACGTTAACCTCTGATTGAATTTTATTCATCTATCATAACTTCATTTACGATGCCAATGTTAAATAGAATTCTGTTGGCTATATTGTTATTGGTAGCAGTATTCGGAATGGAATCAGTTTCTGCACATTGGAGATGTGGAGGATGGGGTGTTTACCATTGGGGAGGGTATGGGAGATGGAATCATTAGGGAAGATATGGAAATTACTATTATCCGTATAATTATTACAATTATCACGGGTGGCAGTCTTTAAACTCGTTACGAATGAAAAATACTAACGTCTTCTATTAGACTGGGAAGCCATTTTGAACTCGTTACGAGTCCAAATGAGTGTTATATTCTAATATAGTACAAGGAGGCTCGAGAGGCTGTTTTGAACGCGTAAGAGTTTAAAAACTTGTTACGAGTTCAAATGAGTGTTATGTTCTAATATACTATAGAGGAGACTGTTTTGAACTGGCATGATGAGAGTGAATGGACATGAACACTATAGCACCAAGTTTTTAAACTCGTACGAGTTCAAAACAGCCAAAACTAGATGCACGGAAGCCTTTTTTCATCTAGTTACCAGTACGAATTTAACATAAAGTCATAATTATTATTAGGCTATTTGAATCATGCTCTTGTGTAGAGAGAACAATAAACTTGGCATTCACTTCTAATTAATTAATTTAATATCGCTTCCTTATTCTATTTTGTTTCTCATTCTAGGATAACGTTATAAGTAATGTACATGTGTTTATCACTTTTTGCTATGTCTGTCGTGTCCGTTTCTTTTTCTTCCTTGTACCATCGAAAGAACTAGATGAATAAATTAAATTATCTGATGTAAAGAAGGTAAAAAACAAGGATTTGTTTATAGCCGGCAATTTTGTGTATAGCAACTACGTCGGTTGATTTAAATACTATGAACCAAAGCACATTTTCTCCTCGTTGCGGTATTCAAAAGTAAAAGTACATTCTTCTCATTTTCTATGCATCAGATAGTACTAGAAAAAAAAAGAATTATGAAGCTGTTCAGTTACATATATACAGTCGTATCATTTCCTCTTTGAATGATGTTGCTGATGACTTTAGTTTGAGTCGAAAGCTCGAGTAATTTTAATAAAATGAATATTGATGATCTTCACCTATAAATAATATTTAATCATTGCTTCTCCAGTTTCGACGAAATTGTTAAGCGTTTGCTGGCAGTTCTAGTGTAGCATAAGCTTTCTCTTAGTTATTTGCGTTATTTTAAAGAGAAGCGAGGGAAGAAATCTAAATATGCAAGTTAAACTTGAATGAACAACTAAGAGAAACCCTATGATACTCTGGTAGTTCCAGCAAACACTAAACAGCTCTGCCAAAAAGGGAGACAAAACGAGATTAAGAAATATGTGTGCTAGAAATTTTAGTTTATGGTGATCGTACAAATGAAACACAGTTATTTGCAGTTTAATAAAATATAACTATTTTCTTCTTGCTTTAATTTAATTAATGATTTTGATTATGTGCACCCACATATATTCATCCTCTGGCCTGTAGAAAGTCCAAAAACCCGTCGAAAACCAATTCAAAGCACATACTGTACATTAAGTAGCATGACAGAATCGTTTAAAAGACACAAGCTCTTCTGACATTTTCTGGAAAATCTCTTAAAAGCAGTTGAAGAGCTAAATTTATTCAAAGTGTGGCCTACACGATTTTAAATTTATTGTTTTGTTCAAACTTCAGAATAAAAGTTAAACAGAGTAGGTTAATCTTTCTCACTGCGTCGGTTGAGCAGAAGAAATAATTTTCATGGACCACTCAATTCGTACTAGCTTAACTCTCTAACTTCTATATATCTTGTGATTCTTCATATGCCGACAAGTACTCCAATGACAGTAGAAAAAGCTTGTTTAATTATTTACTTTACTTCTACTTCTTCTCTGTGGGTAGAAGCTACGGATAGGTGACATTACAATAAAGCGGATAAAAACAGTATGTGTATGCTACGTCTGAGTTGACCTCAAAAGTACAGTTGAGGTCAATATCATACCTCTAAAAGTAAATAAACAACAGTAAATATCATAAAACTTGATTTTACTGACTCTTATAAGAGAATCTGACTTACTTGTAGATGTCGGGGTAAAGCCAACGGAAATGTTTGTTGCAAAATAATCTAAACGGACAGTTTTCTTGCTTTTGCTAGTTTTATATATCTGATTGTTGAAACAAAATACAATAAATAACCTGCCTACACAGCATAAACGCAAACTTACATTTTGCAAAAATATATGTAATATGATCATTTAAATGGTGATTGCCAACGTCACATTTTTGCCATTAAACTTCAATTTAATCAGCTTTTAATTAATCTAAAATGAATAACTAAAACAACATTCAAGCTTTCTTGCATTTATGTGCACTGATAAAAAACAAAGCAGTCATTGCTGACCTTTGTCTATAATAGTCGTTTCTATTAGGAATTTTCACCATAAAAGAAGATATAACACGCTGTTTCGGCTCTAAATGATCTACAGTGCACTGAGAATTAAGCGTCTGATTTTTTTGAATTTCTTTAACGGATGAAAACATGCTGATAAATTTTTTATCTCGTACTTTTTTGTATAGATTATGAAAAAGTTCAAACACTTATGGTTGATAAAAAATTTAATGGAATGACTTTAATACGTGAATTATTTTCATCGTGTATAGTTTTATTATATTATTTTCCCATCATTAAAAAATTTAAAGAACTAGTTGCCAAATTACCAACCAACATTGAAGAAAAGAAAAAACTTTCAGATCTATCTAGTCAATTAGTTTACAGTGAAGATCAAGCAAAATTTGATGTAAATGCCAATAAATTAACAGCAAAACAAACTGCTACAACTACCACCTACTGAACATATTTTTATCAAAATTGGATGAACTGTATTGATGTATGAGCGCTGTTTAAACGTAAACAATCATTAACATTGTTAAATAATACCACCAATCGTATTGAATCATTTTATTGTGTTATTAAACATGAATTTCGTCGTCGTAATAAAATTCCTCATTTAAGTGAAGCATTAAATATTTTAATGATGATTCTTAATTTAAAATCTGCTGTACAAGAATTTGAAAGTGTTCATCAAGAACTATCTTCATTCACAATACAAAATACCAAATACCCAGAATTTATGAAAGAATGTGGCTTTGACTGGTGAGAATATCTCTTTCATTTTCGATTGTGTAACATATGCAACACGGACGGACAAAGCAGTCACCTAAACAGATATCGAACATAAAAAGCCTGAAAACACGCAGTGAGATGAGCTGTGAGTTTTGTAATATGTGTGATTTTCTTCACAATATGTTCCTAATTCGATACTAAAGATCTATATTTTCTAGGTGCGACGGTTTTGAACAAAATTGCCACTGTTTTCCAATTAACTATCACAACGGGGATAATAATTTTTCATGCCATTGAATAGCCCTTATTTCAGATTGTATTTGCTTGCTGTTATTTTTTTTAAATAAAAAGCTTACTAATAATTTCAATTTTTCAGCCTGCAGATGTCAGTTTGAAGCAATAAAAAGGTAATAATATTCAGAATTAATATCGAGTACTGAATCAAATGATCTATATAACAAGAATTTTCGAAATAAAGAATTTTTTCGAAAGTTCTTCATTTGATCATGCAGTACTAAAATTTTCGAAAATCCTTTTCCGTGACGTTTTGTGAGATAGATAGCAACATACACGGTTGGGGAATGCCGTATTTTGTAGCTTAACGATTTTTCTTTCAAATAGTAATTAAGCAAAATCTTCCAGTAGATTAGTTTAAGTAGCATAATGTTTTTGCTATGCATCACTTTCGTACAAAATGGCTTTATTGGCACGAAGTAGGTCCTCAGGATAGAGCTAGACTTTGCTTAATTTCCATTTGAAAGAAAAATCTTAAAATTTAGAAAATATCAACAAAAAAAGAAAAATCTTTAAGCTATAAAATAAGGCGTTCCCCAACAGTGTACGTTGCTCGGCTGAGGAGCTATGACTTTCATAAAACGTAACGGAGTTATGTTTTTTGGCTGGTACGCGTAAACTGGCCGTTCATTAGAAATGAATGTCTTAAGAAGTTATAAAGACTGTTATTCTTCAAAATGTAAAACATATAAAAATTCTTGAAATATCTCGATTTCAAGAAAGCAGTTACAGAAATATTAGATTATCAACTATTAAACAATTGATAAATTATACATATAATTCAGATATATGTTATCAGTCAAGTTCAAATTGTAAACAATTGACGATTAAGAACTATTCTAGAAATGAATGATTGTTCGATTACTATGGCATCACCTATTTATCAAATCTAACACATTTAGATATATATATATATAGACAAAAGGCCACATTACATAATATTGGTTAAAGTTTGTCGTGATATTGAATTTATTTTGGGTTATATTTGTTCAACATTGAAATATTTTTCTTTTAACTTTGATTCAGCATTCGTTTGATCCAACATAGATCCACATTATTTATCTGAAAATTTTTGGTTACAAATTATATCATTGTTGAATAAAACATGCAAAATTCATTTATTTATCATGTCATATGTATATGATTTTTATTATGATGTTATACAAACAACATTTCATGTTGATAGTTCAATTTTAAAAGATCGTCAATTATCAATAGAACTAAAATATCAACAAATAAGAAAATATTTTTATATTTATACTTTGCTTTATCCTGAATCAGCTCCAGATATAAAATGGAATAGAGAAAATACATTATGCACAATAATAGGACAATAAATGGAAATATCTTCATCAAATTTATTCATTTTCAATAAAAATTCATAACAAAATAGATCAGAATTTATTATTGATAATGATTTCGAGAAATATAGTTATTTACTTTATTGTCCATATATTCAAGAACTATCACTTGGCGCGAAGACTGTTCCATCTCCTATGCAGGATATTTGGACAAATTTTAATGAAAAATATGGTACTTCATTTTCGAGATTAATCAAATTATATGTTGATGATAGCAGTTATATTAAATGGTCTAAATAATTCTTTTAAGATTTATTTCAACCAACTGTAGTTGAATTAATATTTGACAGTAAAAATAAAGGAAATTTATGGAATATAATACTTATTTCACCTTTACTATCTAATGTGAAATCGAAATATTGGATATTCGAACGTGAAGTAAAAATATCTGATATTCTAAACCAAGTATTAACATTATGTTGGAATAGTATGAAAAATCTTGTGTATTTAAACATTAAACAACTCGAACGTTCAATATCAGCCAATTTGACAAAACCCATTATAAAACAATTAATGAACAAACATTATATACTAGAGAATAGTGGTATACACATATGGTTTTAAACAATTTTATGACAGACAATATTTCGTTCTGTTTCAATAATTGATTAATGTACATTTTTTAAATGTAAAGTTAGAATTGTAAGATATTTTAGTTCATTTTACAACTAATGTGCTTAAAATCTCTTCATAATCAATATGAGTTAAGGCCTGCCCCTTCCCATACCACCTCTATCACGTTGTATGCAAAACTGCAGCAAACGTTTAGGATATGTTGAGGATACTGCCAATAGCACATTCTCAAAGTTTCAGCCTGATTCATTTATACCGGTTTGAGATATTCAAATTTTATGGCCGAAAAATAGCATTTTTTCGGTGCAGGATTTCGTGCACGCCTTGCATCTAGAATGCTCGGAACTGATTTTAAGCTGTAGAAAGCATATGGTTTGAGGTCGCTACAGTTCGCGGTTATTCTACGTCTCATTAATCTCTGAGGGAATGGAACGTTAATCAAAATGGGTCAAAAACTGCATAAAAAACGGGTAAGAAATTTCAAAGATTGAATTCTTTCTAAAAGTAAAGGGAAGAAAATCAAAAATCGTCGACTGTGTCGAGGTCTCTCTATCAAACGAAACAAGAATAGTCGGTAGCAAAAGACCGATGACTCATCGCGTTTACAAGCTACTTTTCACTGTAACGTCCTCTATCTTTACTTTGGAGCAGTTTGTGATTATTTTTTGTCGAAGAAGAAAATGATAAAACGAAGGATCTTTTTTCATATTTCCATTCATTGACTGCTCGTTACTGCAATGATAGAGGATTCTCAACTCTCTCATTTTAAGTTTGTTTGTCACAATATAAAGGAAACAGACTTCTGATATAAGAATTACTTGAAAATTTTTGATAGAAGCTGTCAGAGTACATTTGAATTTTTTTGACTAATCATCAGCGAATAGCATGTAATGTCGACTACAAAGTGAAAAGATCAGGCTGACATCAGTGACTGGAATGAAAATTTCATATTACAACACAGAGAAGAAATCCTGCGCTGATATAGTGCAATTTTGCAAAAAAAAATTGATTCATAGAAAAATACAAAATAAACTTTGCACACATTTTGTTGATTGTAGAATAAGAAACATAAACATATATTCCATTATATATGATTCGAAAGTACTCTGTAAGCGCTTTCAAATGGTATATAAGACGATGAAACCAATACATGAAATGTAAATGAATATGATTAATTTTATTGCGTTCAGGCACAAGTCAAAAATGTTTTAGTTTTGTCCTAGTCGAATTTGGGCTAAAAGTGCTTATTCTTCAAAAACTTAAGCAGATAAAATATTTGTGAGTCATTAAACATGCTGATGTCGCCGAGCTCTATGTGCTTTAATTTTACAATAATTTGACTAGTGTTATACCTCCACCTTGAGTGTCTATGTCTCGTTTGATGTTGGCAATAGTGTTTACAGTAAAATGGGTGTAAAATGAAAATGGGACATCAGAAATGTATTGTCTAGCAAGACTCTAAAGATTCAAGCCAAATATTTAAATAGTATAAAAGATCTTGATTTTTTAGCGATAGGTCACATCAAAAGTAGTATCTATCAATCAAAAATGATTCAAAGTAGGACAAAGGATATATATTCCGAATGGAGACACTTCATGCTATCTCTACGTGATAGGCATCTAAAGGATATCACATCCTCTAATGTTTATAATTTTCACAGACAATCTAATGTTTATAATTTTCACAGAAATGTCATCATATGTACTAGTGGAATTCATAGAAATGAATAGAAGGATAAGTCGAGCAAACCATACCCCGTTTCGACTTAGTTTATGGGTCTCATCGGATGGGCTGTATCTGTTTTGATTCAAAACAGAATCCAAGCAAAATAATCTACACTGTAACAAAAGTGCAATGGTAGACTGTTTGACGGTGGAAGTAGAGTTTTTTGAATTTTCTCGATTTTTCGACATGAAAAAAATTAAAAACTACATATTCTTGATCAGTTTGAAGAGCTCGATCCAATTGTGTATAATATGTTTGAAAAGAAATTCCACTGCAAGTTTGCATTACCTGTACTTTACTACGAACTACTTTCTGAAATTGTTTGTAGTTCTAATTAAAAAACCAAGTACTCAAACAGATGTTTGTCTGTTTGAAATAACCTGTACCATAAACGTATTGGTGTCAATAATACATGCATATTCTCATGTTTATACGAACCATAACATGATGCAACAAATCCATCAGCAATAATCGTTCCATCATATGTGATAGGTGCGTATGCATCATATAGTTTAATCGGTTTAATTTTACTAACAATAACTGGTTTAACTGCAGTTAAATTTTCATTTGTTACATACAGTTCATCACCAACACTCACCATTGATGCAAAATGATACTGTTTGCTTTCATCATCGAATTTTTTAATCAATAAAGAATGTGCCGGAGTAATCTGTAAAGGAGAGCTTGTTGATGACGTATGTAATTCGAGATAATCCACCGAGGCTTTTGGATTATATCGTTGATAAATAAACATTATTATGACAGGACTCCATTTTATTGTTGATGTTTTAATATCATACACTAATACCGAATCACCAATTTTCAAATTGCGTATATAAGTAGTTTCACCATTTTCTTTCTTTACTGTTGAATTGCCATTAAAACATTTTTCTAAACAAAATAAATATATGAAATTTGTTGGTAGAGCAGTTGGAAATAAGTATTTGTAAATCGAATATAGAACTGCTATGAATAACATGACTTTCAGTCTTGAAAATACTTTATTCGAGCTTTCGCCAGCTTTCAGTTGGCAT